GAGATGGAGCGCTGGGCGGCCGTCAGACGCCCTGAGATGGAGCGTTGGTGGGCCGTCAGAAGACGCCCTGAGATGGAGCGCTGGTCGGCCGTCAGAAGACGCCCTGAGATGGAGCGCTGGTCGGCCGTCAGAATACATCCTGAGATGGAGCGCTGGTCGGCCGTCAGAAGACGCCCTGAGATGGAGCGCTGGTCGGCCGTCAGAAGACGTCCTGAGATGGAGCGTTGGTTCGTCAGGTGGTCAGAGGCCGCCCTAGATGGAGCGCTGGTCGGCCGTTCGCCAGGTGGTCAGAGGTCACCCTAAGATGGAGCGCTGGTCGACCGTTCGCCAGGTGGTCAGAGGGCACCATCAGCCAGTCACGCGCCCAAACGAGCAAGCGATTAAATGACTCGGCAATCGGATGAAGGCGACCCAAATCGGCCGGGATAGGCGGCAGGTATGATTACGTAATATTGCTCCAAGACTCCACATAGTTCATACTAAGATGGTAAAACACTCCGGAGTGAAACTTAAGAGGTAAGACACTCCGGGGTGAAGCTAAAATGGTAAAACACTCCAGGATGCAACTAAAATAGTAAAAATAAACACGCCGGGGTAAAACTAAAATAGGAAAACACTCCGGGGTGAAACCAAAAAAGAAAAAATTGGGGTGAAACTAAAAAAGTAAAAAATGATTGGGTGAAACCAAAATGGGAGAGCATCCGGATGAAACTAAAATGGTAAAACACCCCGGGGTGAAACTTGAGTGGCGGCAGGAGTACATGGCAACGGGCGGTATTACAGAAACGTCTGTCGTGGCATAAATTCTCCTGGTGGAAGCCATGTTTTGATGTACGAATCGCAGCGACCCAGAAGCAATCGTGGGTCATGACCTACACTCCAGAGGGCATCATTGCTTCCAAACGCTGCGATAAGCAACGGGACGACACAATTGCGAAACAGGGGTACGCCGCACAGAGCCAGCACGAAGTCCGCAATGGCAAGGACCAGCAACCGCGCGATGGTTTACGATGACCGGACAGGTTCAAATCCCAGCCATACCGGTTTTTTTTTTGTCTTTTTTTTTTTTCTTTGTTTTTCGTTTTGTTTCCCGCCTCATTAGCTCGCGGTTACTGCATCTATGTCGCCACAGCCCAACGCGTAGCTGCCATAGGCAGGACCAGTTTGTACAGTGGCGAGAAGATCGAGCGTCTGGGATTCTGACGGATGCCAGCGAGGCTAGCGCCCACGACTCTCGCCGCGCGCGCAATGTCGCAGCCACAAGCCAGACAGTCACTATTTATGAGCATGAAACAAACATTGGGAAAGCGCGCTAGCAGGGCTTCTGGGAAATGTGCCTCATGAATCCCCAAAGAATAGATAGTTTTAATTAAACCAACTGGCCGAGGAAAACGCTGTCCGACTGGAAGCCATCGAGAAGTGACGCCGCAAATGCTAGTAGCTTCCAGACCGCTCATTGGCGCTCAGTGGTGTCTCGGCCAGCGCGTCTCGGCGCCCCTCCTCAGACCGACTTCCTCGTATCTCAGCCAATGGAGCGACCGCCCAGTCGAAGGTCCGCCGGGTTAATACAAGCGCTGGGAGAGGTCAGACGGGGTCACAAAGGTCACAGAAGGTCACGATCCCGCCGCGCCCGGCCGCCTGCGGTGTGAAGCTGCCGACACAGCCGCGTCGCGCTTGGTTGGCGGGGAGCACCGCTGGCTTAGGGAGGGGTGCGACGTGCTGAGTAAAGGCTTGGATGGTGTCTGACAACGATATGCCGAGTAAAGGGTGGATGGTGTCTGACAATTCAGTCGCCTTTGGTGAGGGGTGGGCGGATCGCCGCGCACTCCCGCGCCAGTACTACACCGCCGGTCCACCTGTCCAGAGTCCAGACTCTGCCAGAGTCTAGAATCAGCGTCTGCCCAGAGTCACCACGCCATGTTGGGACATCATCACAATCGAACGAGCCTCGCCGCGGGCCGCCACCAGGCGAGCGCGGTTCATCGCACGTGGTCCGGCGTCCAGGTCACGTGTGCCACACGTACTGAGATGCACGTGCGACACGTGACGGTGGGGTGCGTCGGCCATGGACCAGTCAACAACGCGCGGCGCCCACTGCGCTAGTACAGTGTCCGGGTCAAGTAGTGTCCGGGTCAAGTACAGTGTCCGGGTCAAGTACAGTGTCCGGGTCAAGTAGTGTCCGGGTCAAGTAGTGTCCGGGTCAAGTACAGTGTCCGGTCAAGTACAGTGTCCGGGTCAAGTACAGTGTCCGGGTCAAGTACAGTGTACGGGTCAAGTACAGTGTCCGGGTCAAGTACAGTGTGCGGGTCAGTACAGTGTCCGGGTCAAGTACAGTGTACGGGTCAAATACAGTGTCCGGGTCAAGTACAGTGTCCGGGTCAAGTACAGTCCGGGTCAAGTGCAGTCCGGGTCAAGTACAGTGCCGGGTCAAGTACAGTGTCCGGGTCGCAAATGGTTTCTGCTGCTGGCGTTTAAAGAAGACCTAGTGGGCCTAGTGAAGGGCCTAGTGAACCGGTCACGTCCGCGCAGCGCACGGTTCATTGAGAAGATGATTCGAGCTGCCGGAAAATCGCGTTTGAGCAAGGTCAAGGTCACGGAAAGTTGCAGCGTTATCTGTAGAATAGGTTTGCAGCTTTCTTATCAGGAGTCGGCTCTTTACGATGAACTGTCCGCGCGAAACTTTGGTCTTAAACGTTCCTCACCAATTTAAGGAAATGATACTAAAACGTGATGGAACCCTGTACATGTGTTTGCGACCGAAGAGAGAGCGTAAATCGGCAGCGTGTCAGTTGCTCGGGTTTCTTGATTTCAAAGGTTGCCTTTAAGACATTTTGCACCGCTCTGGAGAAAACGGAACATCACCTTTTGTAAGATCCTATTGCTTTTACGTGGCTTAACAATGACTTAAAATCGCTAGGCCATTACCTCGCGATTAGTATGTACTCACTAAGGCCCGGCGAACGCGGCGGAGAACGCTGCCAAAGTCAAATGGATAACTTTCGCCGCAGGATCGGAGTGGAATGCAGCACCAGTCCGCTGACTAGAGCCAGTGGAAAGGCATTCCGACTGGGCACGTTACGGCTGGGCCTGTAGCACGGCTTTAACATTCCGCTTATCAACTTTTGTGGAGTTCGAGAAGTAGACGAATGGCATCGATAACCACGTCCGTATCATGTGTCAGTTTCCTATAACTGACATGACAGCACTGTCTTGACGTACTACGACAGTTTCTCTGCTGGGCTAAAGGAAATCTGCCCCGTGCGGAACGGAGACATACTTAACATGACACACTTGTACTAAAAATATCTTCTACTGACTTTTACCTGAATCAAAGCTATGAAAACGAAAACAAAGTACCTTCGTCTTTTTTAACACTAATTTTTATGGAAAACGTATTTCCCCGCTGTCATCAGTTCCAGCATTATCTAACTGAAAAAATGGCGGATGCAGGTACGTCCCCCTCTCCCTCCCCCCCCCCCCCCCCCGACAGTTCTGTCCATGTGCTTAGTGCAATAGAAGGCGTTACGGTGCTTGAACGGTCTGGTGCAACGCCACTCCACCACCGATATCGTCCGGTTGTCAACCCAACCGCCTCCCTCCTACCACTGCCCCCCCCCCCCCCCCCGCCCCCCCCCCCCCGATGGTCAGCCCGTGATAGTTCCAGAGGAAATAAATCTCCAGCTCCGCCGACCGAGCTATGCAAATTGTCTCCGCTTCCTGCATAGCTGAGTTACCAGCCGTGGCCCTGCCATCGCGACCCATTCCTCATATCGACGGGAGGCACGCCACGTATCGTTCATTCTTGCCTGGATCAAGGGGCGACTGAGGACACCGCCCTCTTCGCAGGTCGTCCCTACGCGGTCTCCCCAGCACAGCGAGACGTGCAGGTCACGACCCCGGCATTCTCAGCGCCGACCGACACGTCCGCCAGCGTCTGGCGCGGGGTGAGCACGGAGGCGCCTGCAGGTCTTAACGCGTGTGACTCGAGCGTCTCAACGTGAGTGACTTGACCGTCTCAATGCGTGTGACTTGAGCGTCTCAACGCGTGTGACTTGAGATTCTCAACGTGAGTGACTTGAGCATGTCAGCGTGTGTGACTTGAGCGTCTCAACGCGAGTGACTTGAGCGTCTTAAGCGTATGACTTAGCGTCTCAACGCGTGTGACTTGAGAGTCTCAACGCGTGCGACTTAAGCGACTTTAGGCATGTGACTTGAGCGTCTCAACACGTGGTGCTTGAGCGTCTCAACGCGTGCGACTTATGCGTCTTTAAGCGTGTGAATTGAGTGTCTCAACACGTATGACTTGAGCCTCTCAACGCGTGTGACTTGAGAATCTCAACACCAGTGACTAGAGCGTCTCAACGCGTGTGAATTGGACGTCTGAACACCAGTGGCACAAATGTCTCCACGCGTGCGACCATGTTATCTCCGCGTGGGCGGCTCCGGCGTCCACACGCGGATGAAGCGTGCTGCCCCCGCGTGGGTAACTCGAGCGCCTCCACGAGAGTGACGCGGGTATCTCAACGGGCTCCTCCACGTAGGTGACTCTGGTGGCCTCACGTGCATGACTTCAGCGTGTCCACATGTGTGAGCTGAGTCTCCATGTGAGTAATTCGAGCCTCTACGTGGGTAAACCGGGTAATTCACGTTAGCAACTCAGGTGCGCGCGGTTGACTCGGATGACTCCAAGTGGGCGACTCAGCTGTCCCCAGAGGTGGACTAGGATATACTCACACGTGCAACCCCGCTCCATGCACGGGCCATCCACCGGGACCAATATCGCATTATTCCACATCTCATGTCGCACTTCATGCCGTCCGATGCTTCCACAAAGCTTATTGTTTTACGCGATTAATGCGAGGTCTCCTCTCCCCCAACTGCAGGGCAAATTCTGCCGCATCCAGTATCGTCGAGTAGCGTCTTTTGGTGTTGTGGTGTAATGTGCCCCCGTGCCCTCAGGGCAGCGGCGGGCCGCTCCGACGACTCACCTGGAGGACAACATGCACTCGCTGCTCAGATCCCTTCTGGAGCGCGCGGCCGGCCGCTGCTCCTGCTCCGCCTCCTCAGTCTTCGCTCCAGCCCGCAGCGCCAGATCCGGCCGGCTCCAGCGCTCGCGCTCCAGCCACCTCGAGCCGCCTCTCCAGCGCCGCCAGCCGGCCCTCGAGAGCGTGGTTGGCCAGCGCCAGGTAGGCGCCGCCGAGAGTGGGCCGCAGTCAGCACCAGCAGCACAGCCAGGCCGGGGCGCCAGCGGCCGCCACGCTCACTCGACGGCTTCTCCATCGGCTCACATGCTCCGGAGGCACCGGTGAGGGACAGCTCGCCCGCCAGCGCACGCACCGTCACGCGCGACACACCGAAAACGGGTCTCCCGGACCTCCCCTCCACACCGCTGGCGCTCAACTGACGGCGGCGACGGCCTGACCGGCATAGTTTCAGTGGCGACCGCCAGAGGCGCTGACGGCGACGCGGCAAAAGGTACGCTGAGGATCAGCTCCAAGGTGCAACGACCTAAAAAAATGGAGATGATGCTCTCATCTGTCACGTGACCTTGCGTACCTTCAGGGTGGGGGATGAGTGGAGATGAGTGAGTGGATTTCAGAGTGGAGATGCAACAAAAAATAAAAATCCGGTGCGTGCCCTTAAGGATGCCTGACCAATACTTACTACCTTCAGCTTGAAGTCGTCAACGTTGGATTGTTATCGACATCCCCGACAGTTTTCTGGCGCCCAGGCAGTCCATGCTTTCCAGTCACCGGCATTGTCAGCCCTGACCCTGTTCCAGTGACACTGGCTATAGACATCCTGCTGTCGCTGGCTTTAGAGAATGCCTGCCAGGTCGGTTGAGCGGGGTCAAGTATTCGCATTAATCGGGTGGATGAAGCCGCATGTGCGTTTTACCACGTTGAGACACGCTAACAAGCAAGCAGAGACAGGAGAAGAGTAGCAATGTGGTATAGCTGGCGTGACGTAACAGCGAACGCTAACGTTACGCTCTGCAGGGCAGCAGAGCGTAACGTCCAGATCCCGGCCCCTCCCCCATCCCGTCCGCCGTTTAAGGGACGTCCACCACAAGACCGCCTGCTGTAGGTCGCCTCTAACCATCAACACTGTAATGTTGGCGCTCGTGAGCAGGTCCGCCCCCTCCTGCCCCTCCCCGACCCCCTGCCCCCGCGGGACGGGGCTGGAACGGCGCTCAAAGGCCGCGACAAAAGGACGGGCGCCGTGTTTTTTCTGGCGCACAAAGGCACCGAACGGGGTATCAATTGGATTCAATTAAACGGCCCGGAGCGGTGGGGATGCGGCGCCGGCGGGGCACACAATCCACTCTCCCCACTGTCACGCAAGAGAGCGTCATTTTGTTGCCGCGGTCGGAATGGGCAGGGGTGGCGTGGTGGACGACGAGCTGGGGATTGAACAACGCTTCAGATGAACATAATAAGCATTCCGTGTTTGTTTGTGAGATGCAGAGTGGCGGCGCCACCTGTTGGTCCCGCACGACGTTACGGATTTTAAGGCTGCTGGCTCTGACCATGGCAGCGTGCAGCCAGTAGCAAATTAGTCTTGTTTGGAAGTGGACGGAAGGCGATATCATCGCATCCAATGATACTTTATCCTCGTTTGGAAATCAAGGGAAGACGATATCATAGCACTTAACTTTGTGGGCTTAAAACGGCCGCACAGAATCACCTCCTGCGGGTGTTGAGTACGTGCCTCACCGTGCACAGAACAAAGGTAACGGATATTGACCATCCGATGTGCGGCCACTTTGCACACACGGCCTCGTAGTCTCGTGTGATCTCAAACGAGCGTGGCCGGCTTTTCATTGGTCGGTCACAGACTTGGTCGCTTCTGTTGGCCGCACCTGGCTCTCGGTGTCTGGACGTGGAAACATCGGACCGCGATTGTTAATGTGCCGCCACACCACAGGCCCGGTCTTCGCCAAGAAGGCTCATTGTCATCGACGTAGCAGGATCAACGCAGCCAGAAAACGCCTGGGGGTTCTCGTAAATGATGTCATTCGCAACGAAGGCCACATGACACATAACTGCGTAACCCGTACGAACGGATCCGTTCTTCCATCGAGGTGGTCCAAAGTACAGCCAGGAGCCGATGACAACGTAGCTTCCTTCCACCGGGTGAATTCCTTCAGCCCAGCTTTCTTCACGTGCGACACGCCGCGTCCCCTGACGCCCGTCTTCCCCGGCGCTGGTCCGGCGCGCGCGGCGCGCATTCCTCGGGTCCTCACGACTTCATTGGCGGCGGCGCGCGCTGGCCGACGCATTCCTGCGAGCCGGGACCGGAGGCGACCCCCGCCGGCCGGACAGCGGTGTTGACCACCGGGCCTGCCCGATTATGCGGTATTTACAGGCGCCGTGACAGATGAGGCCAGACGAATGGGAGGCCTCCCGTCGTGTGACCCCCTCCTCCGCCGACGCCGCCGCCCGCGCCTGATGGGGTAATGAGACGGCGGGGAGGGGAGGCTTCGAGACGGGCCACCACGGCCGCGCGGGCGTCATGAGCAGCGGTGGTGGCCTGCTGGTGCACCAGGTCTGGACGTCACGTGGTGCACCAGGTCTGTGCATCACGTGGTGCACCAGGTCTGGACATCACGTGGTGCACCAGGTCTGTGCATCACGTGGTGCACCAGGTCTGGACATCACGTGGTGCACCAGGTCTGGACGTCACGTGGTGCACCAGGTCTGTGCATCACGTGGTGCACCAGGTCTGGACATCACGTGGTGCACCAGGTCTGGACATCACGTGGTGCACCAGGTCTGTGCATCACGTGGTGCATCAGGTCTGGACATCACGTGGTGCACCAGGTCTGTGCATCACGTGGTGCATCAGGTCTGGACATCACGTGGTGCACCAGGTCTGTGCATCACGTGGTGCATCAGGTCTGGACGTTACGTGGTGCACCAGGTCTGTGCATCACGTGGTGCATCAGGTCTGGACGTTACGTGGTGTACCAGGTATGGACGTTACCCCGGGCCATGGTCGGTCAGGTGGTGTCTCGTGCATACAAGGTAACGCCACAGTAACCTGTTGTCGTTCCTCCTAAGAGTCGATGGCGGGAGGTCTGAACGCGTTCGGGAGCTCTCTACGCACCTCATCGCTTTTTCGTCAGCAAGCCGATACTTTTGGTCGCGCCTAAGTTGGAAAGGAGCGCAGGCCCTGTTCCAGCAGTCGAAATAAAACTTCTCTGCTTACTTATGGCGTGCCTTCATGCATGACAATACGAACTGTGGAGCCATATTGCCGTTGACAACACGTGACCTGCACATCAAGATGAGCCACGCTGAAAACGCAGCAGCGCCAGCCCGGATAGACAGCAGGTGAACGGGAGAGGGGCGGAGGAGGGAATACAGAGCAGGCGTGCGAGAGAAAGAGAGAGAGAGAGAGAGAGAGAGAGAGAGAGAGAGAGAGAGAGAGAGAGAGAGAGAGAGAGAGAGAGAGAGAGAGAGAGAGAGAGAGAGAGAGAGAGAGAGAGGAGAGAGGAGAGAGAGAGAGAGAGAGAGAGAGAGAGAGAGAGAGAGAGAGAGAGAGAGAGAGAGAGAGAGAGAGAGAGAGAGAGAGAGAGAGAGAGAGAGAGAGAGAAGAGAGAGAGAGAGAGAGAGAGAGAGAGAGAGAGAGAGAGAGAGAGAGAGAGAGAGAGAGAGAGAGAGAGAGAGAGAGAGAGAGAGAGAGAGAGAGAGAGAGAGAGAGAGAGAGAGAGAGGAGAAGAGAGAGAGAGAGAGAGAGAGAGAGAGAGAGAGAGAGAGAGAGAGAGAGAGAGAGAGAGAGAGGAGAGAGAGAGAGAGAGAGAGAGAGAGAGAGAGAGAGAGAGAGAGAGAGAGAGAGAGAGAGAGAGAGAGAGAGAGAGAGAGAGAGAGAGAGAGAGAGGAGAGAGAGAGAGAGAGAGAGGAGCAGGAGAGCAGAGGAGAGAGAGAGAGAGAGAGAGAGAGAGAGATAGAGGAGAGAGAGAGAGAGAGAGAGAGAGAGAGAGAGAGAGAGAGAGAGAGAGAGAGAGAGAGAGCGGTGGCCAGGGTCAGAGTCAGCTCCGGCCCCCCACCAGCGCGCCTGGGAGCGGTGGCCAGGGTCAGAGTCAGGGTCTCAGCTCCGGCCCCCCCACCAGCGCGCCCGGCCATATCCAGCAGCGCCGATGCCCGCATTGTCATGCAGAAGCCGGACCGATGGCCGCCGATTGCCGCCGCTGATAGTCGGCTCTCGAACGCACCGCTTATTGCCTTGTGCGCGGCGCTCAATGGAGGAGGCGGGCGGCGAGCGCGGGCGGCGGCGGGGCCGCGGCGGCGGGGCCGCGGCGGGGGCGGGGGCGGGGCTTTGTCCGGCTCGGACGGCGGTCGCCGGGAACAGACCGGTGACAAACGAGGCGCTGGGAGACCCCAGACGAGAGACAGACCGTGGGGAGAGCGCCATAGGAGACCGCATGCTCTGGCGGGGTCACCGGCGCTGCTGTGTTCTAAAGCAGCCGTAGCAAAATGGGCCAAGGGGACGAATGTCGCCGCCCAAGCGCCGAAGAACATCGAAATCACAGAGAATCTCAATGTGCCGATTACTGGCGCCGAAATCTGCGGTCCCACACACAATAAGTGATAACCGACGAACCGGGACCGAAATTATGAGGGGAGGTCAAAAGTGCGAGCCAAACGGCGTTCGGTGAAAGTCTCATTTCTCACTACACATCTTGGACTCTGGCGCATTAGTACACTACTGAAGCTTGGAATTGTGGCGCAAGTGTATCATGCTATCAAGATATTATTACGTTTGTAGTCTGCAACAGAATCTGTCGTGTTTTAATCAAGGCTTGGGAACATCCACCGAGGGAGTGGGCACGAACACTTTTACAGTTACATATTTTCCTCTCCATTGCCGCAGGATCAGTTTGGGGATGTTCAAACACTGACGCGCGCCGCGCTCTTTGAGGTCCGCCCCGCTCCTACACAGAAATCGCTTTTCTTCGCTTTCCAGCAGGGATAAAGCGAATGTTTGGACCAATGTTGCAACAAGTGCAATTCTGCCGTTGCCTGGAAGTGCGCTATCGGGTGGTAGGGTCAGGGCTCGCACAACAAGCACTGCTTAGCGTGAGCTATGTTGCCAGAAATCCATCCATTCAAA